TCGAGGGCAACTTTGTTGAAGATGCTTCGAAACCTCAAATCGGAACTCACCCCTGCTGCCAAAAGTTTGTCAGGTAGAGTTATTGTCTGTGTGGGGCTCCAGGCTCAGCCGCTCAACGCTTGCACGTACGCTGTCGAAGACTTGTGTGTGCGGGTGGTTAGATTCTTACTCATCATTCACGGGGTTGACATGGCGGAGCAGAAAGCTCAATAAGAAAAGCAACAAAAATGCAAGCAGATAACTTAAGATGCAGGTACACAGTGACACAATGGGGCATCCCCTATTTTAGCACCACTTGACAGCCTCTTCGTTGGACAGCACTGTCAAGGGTGCCCCGTCCCCCTGCAAACGACAAGAGAGAACCTTTGCAAACAGCGCGGGCGCCCCCGTGCACCACCCGCAGCAAAATTTGTTAAAAGCAATACCAGGGCCCAGGGCTCGCAAGCTCTGCCCAAAACGCTGGTATTCACTGGTTTTGGCCTCTTTGTACACATACGCACAAGGATGTCACAATCGTTCATGTCTTCGGTGACCATGCCCAAACACTGCTATTCACAGTGTTTGTGGAACAAGACGCTCTGTCACAAGCATCCATGTCTTTGGCGACCATGCCCAAAACGCGCGCAAATCACGACCTGATCCTCGCTTCTCTACCACCTACGGGGCCCCGCACCCCGTGATCTCCTCCTTCTCGAAATGCATCTTCTGGATGGAAAGGTCCTCCTGTGTAAAGCACAATCGCAATCTCCTAGTTGTCTTGGGCGTATGCGCCTTGCAGTCTGGATGAATGCTTTAGTTGCTCCTTGGCTCCAACTCTAGCCTCATGCCATATCATACCCATCTTCTAACCGTCCTAAGCTGCTGCACAAACCCAGCCCGCACGCCTGCTTCAAGAGTGCAGATGCGGTCTGGTTGAGGCAGATGCGCATCAAATGGAGGAACTCCTCCACCAACATGACTTTCTCAGGGTTTCAAGTTCGGCTTGGGCTTGAGCAACACATGGGGGTTTCCGAAAATGGGGGTACCCTTTTGGGGCTCCTAGAATAAGGGTTTTCTATTTTGAATTTTGAGGGCACATTCGGGGGAGCGCTATTTGGGGAAGCCTTCACACACAGTGGCCTCGAAATCCAGACTCTCTGCCTTGGTCGAGCGAGTAGCCTCCCACCGCAACTCTGGGTTTGCTTGCGGTTGGGATCCTTTTTGCAGGCTTTCGCTACTCTGAAGATGAGGGTTGAAGAGCTTGCCAAGGACTGCATTCCTGTGGGTCTGGTCCCTTGAGTCTGGTAGCCGGGGTCCCTTGCGATGTACGTCTGCTGAAAGATCTTGGTGTAGACAAACTCTAAACTCCGTTGATCTCCGTTGTCACAGTGTGCTTCAAAACCCACTTTGAGCTAAACACTCGAACTCGCTGGCCTGTTTTGACACTCGAACATTGCCTTGCAACCAGGGCGTTGGGGAAATTGGGGGGTGCGCCTGCGTGATGGCCTCCTGCGCCCTGTGCCGCTGGAGTTTGTCTGTCTCCGAGCCTGTGGTGCCGCCAAGGAGAATTAAGAGAGCAAAAAGCGAGTCGTTGGACGACAAAGCAGGGCCTTGGAACATCTCCTTCAGCAACCTTCCGATTTGCTTCGCACCCTTGGCAGCATTGCTGAGAACTGCCAAGTGGCAACGGCATGGCAACACTTCGGTCTCAACAAGGTGCGCACGGAACCGTCACAGTAAACACGACTCGTGTGCTAACGTAGAATGTCTTGGAAAGTGCAAAGCAAGCCAAATACCCTGTGAAGTTCCGGGTCGATGGCCCGGAGCTTGCCACTTGACCTTTGACAATCAAGCGTGGCAGCATATTGCCTGACAGAACTTGGACCGGGTCATCTAAATCTTCGAGGCCGAGCCTCTTGCCATGAACAATCCTTGCACTCAGACTCGCACCCTCAGGATGATTTTGAGAAGCTGCGAGACCGAGCTGCGAGACCGAGCTGGCGACCTGTCTGCAAAGCTGAAGAAGATCTCCCTGAGCGTGACCAGCTCATGGTCCAGGAAGCCTCTGCGTTTGGGTTAGACTGCAATGAACTCGTATGAAGTGTGGTCCTGATTGTGATGGTGACTGTTGTACAGAAAGCGTCAGCCCTGGGGCCTGTGTCTTTCGCACTCGGTCTCCTACCCTTCCCAAGCTTCAATAGGCAACGAAGCCCTAGAGCACCCTGCCCAAGCTTCACATCTTAAGCAATCTGCATCTCAACAAACCCATGGCCACTGTACCTCTCCTACGTTCATGACAGTTGGGGGTTGGGGATTAAAGCATTGGCGTTTCCGAATCTTTGCGACTTTGAGCTTCGGACATGCGGCCTGCTACCTGCCTCCTCACTAGCAATCCTAAACCTGGATCTGGGCCCCGGCTCGGGGCCTCGAAACCCCTGCTTCCAAATGCCGAAGTGGTCTGAGAGCCGGGCCGAAATTTTGGCGGACCATGTTGCGGATCTGCCAGTTCGTTGAATTAATTCGCTTTGCGGGATTCTCCTGTCTCTACAGCAAAAGTTTCAAGCTTTGAACTGGGAGCTTGTTTGGAGCATTTCGTCTCATGCATGCTACGTCATGTTCATGATGGTCAGAGGAGTAACAGAAGTTTGCCTTCAGGTTTCAACAGGATGACATGTTGTTTTGGACAGCTACAAGTTTTCTGCGCCCTGTTGCGGGTTCCAGAATCCTTCCCCATGCTGAATGCTGCAAGCGTAATGTGCCACCAATTGCCCTGTCCCTTTTACCATGATCATCTGGAATTGCAAGTTTTTTATCCCAAGTTTCGGCAAAGTAGCAATATCAATACAAGCTTTCCTGCAACAGCCGGCTCAGTTTAGCTGATTTGTTTTCTACAGAAGGGGCACCTAAAGACTCCCCAAATGAAGCCTTTAACAACCCTGAGCCCAAAAGCCCCTTGGACTTAAAGCTCAAAAGCTCTAAACTCTAAACTCCGACGGGTCTGGAGTAAAACAGTCACCGGGCTTTCCCGTAGGCCGTCGGGAAGCTGTCATACTAAACCCGGGCCGCTTCACGGGCTGATACGGAAATGCCATGCCTTGATCAGTATTGCAATGTGCAGGAGGTTAGTGGGTAACTGCACAGCAAGCGGGACACTCGGTATCTGGCACGGCGCCGGTGCTGGCGAAGCGCTCGGGCCACACCCCAGCGATCCTCCCAATGCGAGGTGGCTGCGAGGTTTGGGAGGCACAAGATTTTGGCCGGTGGGGCGAGAGCGATGCATCCTTTCTTGGCAAAGAGGCACATGCTCAGCTCTCATGCAGTTTCGCAGTTTGTGTGTTTGCCGCTTAGGGGTCTAGCGTGTCAGGCCGCCAGTGCCTTGACAAACATCTGCAAGGCTCGGATTCTACACTTTTTGAGTGCGAGGGCGTAAAACGCCAGCCCTGAATAGCCCTGACAAGGTGCCACAGGTCGGCCGTTTTTTGAACCCATTGAATCCAGACTTTGCACAAGTCGGCCTTGGAGAACTGACCTTGGGTGAAATCCCCCTCAAGGTCCGCCAGAACCGCCCTGGCCGTACAGGTCGTGTTGGGACAAAACACCAGGCTTGATATGAGTGATGCGGCTGCACAGCATCTGCACAAGGCCACAGAGAACAGGCCAACAGTCCGAGCCCTCGGCGCAGAAATGTCGTAGCCCAGCATGTGGAAGATTTTATGAAGCCTCCCACGTCGCCGTGGATGAGCCGAAGTTGTTTCGCCAGTTGGTGGAATTGGCTTGTTTCAGCTCTCTCTCTTCCTGTTCTCAGCTGGACCCACCAACATCACAACCCCAACGCAGCCAACACAGGCGGCTTTTGACGCCGACTTTTCTCAAAAGGCCTAACAGAGACTCGCTTGTCCGCGCACCTGAACTTTGACATTGTCAGGGTGTTCCGCTGAAACCGCTACGCTGCAGCCGAACGAGTGCTCGAGGCATTCCGAAGCTCTTTCGTTGAAAGTACGAGAACATGCCACGCTCAGGTGGTGGATAAGCGCACGACATAGATTCCGTTAGATCCATGCATACTGTGTCGTGCAGATATGTGCAGGCTTGAGTGTCTAGAATTGGGTCAAAGATGGTGCACGCTGGGAGTACACATAGACCCATCAGCCGGGACCCTCACCTAAAATCTGCCGAACCTGTGTGGTGGTCGTGGTGGCCGAAAGCCTAAGCAACCATCAGGCGCCACCTTGCTTGAAACCCGCTGTTCGAGACCTGGCGAGAAGTGGCGTGCGAGGCCGCTTCGGATGTTTAGTGGGCTGAAGCGGCGGAATGTGAGACATACTGGACAACCCTGAAGCTTGAGATCACCACTGAAGCGGGGGCATCAGTCCGAAGCAGGAGCTGGAGTGGCAGGGAGCGTCCAGTTTTGGAAAGCACATGCATGGACCAAGGAAAACTGTACTCCCCTCTTTACTCTGAGTTCCCTCGGCCTCTCCCTGCGGCCGCTTCCGCAGCAATCGCCAGCCTAAAAAAACACATCGACGTTGCATGGGGCTTCGAAATGAACACCGCATAACATGGTCCCCTCCCTTGCCCAAGAACCTCCAAGCCGAAACCAAAGCGCAGGCCCCACAGCAACCCCCGGCACCTCCGCCTTTGGTGGGGCTTGGGGGCGCGTGGGTTGGGCTGAGCGGAGCCACCTGAGAGTTCTGAGTTCAGGATTTTGGGGAATGTTTGGGAGGCTGATTGATGATTTCTTCTTTCCGATTGCCGGGATTGCGTGCGTTGATTGAGGTGCTCCTGCTTTGCGAAAGGGCCCAGTGCAGAGTGTCTGGCGTTTGTGTTTTTGGGGCTCGGGGCCATCAGGATGCTCGGCAGCAACTTTGTTCTTTTACCTCTTCCCAACGGCGGGCTTTGAATAGGTAGGTTCCGCAACATATGGCCAGCCCATGTTAGCCCTTTCCCCGTGTCACGCCTGCGCCACGCCTACCTCTCAGGACTCTCGGGAGCCAGGGTGGGAGATTCTTGGCCAGCAAACTTCATGCTTTGAGGACAAAGTTGTGCGGCTCCAAGCCGATGCCACGAGACCTCCCCGTGGTGGCCTCCGTCAGCTTCAGCACCTTCGCAATGGACTCCAGCTCCATATCCCGCCTTTTTCTTTCGGCTGCTCCAGAACTTTCTAAAGATTGTTGGGGATTTCAGGGGTCCCATCCAGAAAGGTGGGCTTAGGGCCCACTTGATAACAGTGCATCGTTGGTCGACGTCTTCGCTGGGGTGCAAAGTGCGGCCCAGACAGGGTGAGGAAAGCCCAGCAAAAAACACCGAAAGACTCCCTGCATACCCCCGGCCGTGGTGAACTGCGGAATTGCGAAAGTCAACCATCAACTCTGCACTCACTCACTTCAACCGACCAGATATGCCGGGCCACACCGCGGCCATGATTCTCAGGAATTCCTCCTCGGGGAGTGCGAATGAGAAGTGACGTGCGCTCGATTTTCACATGACCATGCGAGGTTTGACTTGAGCTCATTCTTGAAGTGCTTTCCGTGTTCCTATCTCACAGCTACCCATGAACTGATAAGAGATGATACTACGGCGCAGATGCAAGTCTCCAACTGGCAGTGGATCAAACTTGCTTTGTTCCGGACATGAGTCTTTCACAAAACTCCTTTCGCGGAACTTGAGCGTGCCTAGTCGCGGACATCTATGAACACTTTTTTCTGAGGAGGGGCTGCAGAAATCCTTTATTTCTGGAGGTGTTTTTGCTTTTACGGGTGTGAGTACTCAATTTTTTGAGCGTTGAGGAAGGGTCAAGGGGCTACAGTTGTGGCGTTGGTTGGAGGGAGGTGAGGATTGAAGGGTCCAGGGAGGGCTGGGTCCTTTCCAGGGATGCGTCAGACTTGTGCGGACCTTTCGCGGGGCTTTACCCTTGCCCTACAAAATATTGCTTCCAGAGAACGGGTTTTCTTAAACCGGTTCAGATGTTAACTTTCGTCAAAACTTTCGCCAGAAAACAGTTTCCTTTCGGACGCCCGTTCACAAGATCGCACAAGTCATGGAAAGGTAGAAACCCATATCAATTCCGTAATAGCTCCTTCAGATCAACACCCAAGTCCTAGTTTGGAAAAGCAGGAGACGATCATTCAGAACTAAGTGAACTAAGTGGTGGTGACCATACGGGAGCTCAGGATCTTCGGCTTTACCAGGCACCTCTCGCAGCTGTGTGCCCGTCAAGTTGATGCTGTCCAGAAGCTCCTGGACCTCACTGTCGGAGCCAATCAACATGGCACGATCGTTGGCTCTCTGTCTGTTGCATTCCAAGGCTTTAACCCTCAAGCCGGCTCTGGAACTACAACTTCCTTTGGGCGCGCTGGCAGCTTCTCCGAGGCGCGCGCTTGCCACAGCTCCATGGGGTAGCCCTGCCTTAACATTTCCGGGATTCTTACCAGTTGCATAGCTGCGGGTGCTAGCTCAAAGAAAGGGTTTCTCAAAAATGTATCAAATGTTCTTGTGTTCAAAGCTTGTTTATTACAAGCACCTTTGAGAATGGTGCTTGGACTTGAAGTTCTTTTTTGGATGCTGAGTGCTTTTGAAAGTTGCTTGGGATTCGTTCGAATGTCTTAGAAAAAGTGATTGACTTGTAGTGCTTGTGTTTTTTCGAAGTGCTTGGAGGCGGTTGTGTTTTATGGTGCTTGCTCGAAGTTTTCGATGGTGTTTGGAAGTACTTGTTCCGAGAACCTGATGGTGGACCCGCCACCCTTCGACGAAGCGCTTCTTAAGGGAAGGGGGGCAAGGGGGCTTCAAGGGGGCTTCAAGGGGGCTTCAAGGGCTTGAAGGGGGGGGCCGCAAGGGGGGGTTCAAGGGGGCCTGAAGATACCCAAGCATGAATACCAACAGTCGCCACCAGCACAAAAGGACTCCTTGTCACAAGTGGGAACGGAACAAGGCTTTGACAAAATGTTGGATTCTTGTTGGCTGGAGTTTATGACACGAGTTGGCAGCAGGTGACGGGCCCTGTTTTTCCCTTCTTCACACCACACTCAAACTAGCGCGAGATGACACGACGGCATCGAATCCGGTAGCACGAAGTCCGGACCTTACCCTTTACATTGCCTCAGCAGGTCATCACAGTCGGTTTCAGACATGTTACTCTGCGGCGCTGACGGCCGGAAAGTGAGCACTTGCCTCTGATGCTCGTAATGACCCAAACGGCAACGTGTTGGTAGGACTTGCGCCACTTGTGTGCCCTGTCGCAAAAGCTACGGTCGACATCGGATCGGTCGACATCGGAGAAGGCATGCCGCTCTCCGTGGTGCTCCGCTCAACTGTGGCAATGCAGCGGCGCTCATGAAACTTGAGCCGTGCTTAAAGTCTCCAGATAAAAGATATCGAGCTTAACAGCTCATCGGTGCTCTTCAAAAAACAGAACAGCTTTTGGCGGTCCGACTACATCAGCAGTGACCGTGTTTCAAACAGGTGGGGGCGGCGACGATGCTTCAAATGAACAGGTCGCGACCTCGCCTTCTGCAGTCTCTGCGGCACGTCTTTACACCGCAAGTCTTTTGCATTGGGTTGTCCATGCGGCAGTCTGTATATGTGTATGTAACTTGTGTCAGACAGATGTGAATCAAAAGGCATCCACCAGAGGACACGCCTGGTTGCTCTATCGCTGCCCAATTTGGCCCTGCCGATGGCTTTGCTGGTGGGTTTAGATCTTACTTGTAGGGCCATGTAGGGTTTATGCAGAATGTGGGGTTTATGACCTTCGGCCGAGAGTTTGCCAGAACACAGACCAGGCAAGTGACTCCACTGTAATGCCCTGAAACCCTGAAAACATTGCTGCAGGTGGCTCAGCATCGGGTCAACTGTGGGACTGGGTTTGCAGAAGCCTGGGGTAGGTATGTGACAACGTAGGCATCAGTAACATCTCCAGTGGTTTCGAGCACTACAATCCCCAACACCCAAAACCCTAGACCCTAAACCCTATAGTCTAATGGAGGATTTGCTTTACTTTCGGGCTTTTCAGGATGGGCTCCCTGCACATTCCTGGAAAAGCTTAGCGGGCCGACCTATTGTCTGAGGTTCTGGGTTTAGGGTTTAGGAGCCTTTAGGCATATTTAGGCTGGAAGTGACTAGCAAACTCCTTTGTTAATTGCCACGTTTCAGAGTTTGAAAGTCATGGCGAGAGCTTCTTGAGAAGCTCATGCGACCTGTTTCATTTTTCTCGTGCCAGTGAAACGAAGAAGCCCTGTCAAGTGCGACATTGAAAGTGTCAAGACGAACCTAAACCCTAAACCCTCGACCCTTAAACACATAGGAGTGACAGGTATGCGCAGGTCATACTCACACAAGCGGCAACGTGAGCTTTGAAGCTTACAGGGTCTTCACGCATTCTGGCAAAAGGCCCTCGATCAGCTTCCAGTGGTGTGGCTGAAGCTGTGTTTCGTTAACGCCGCACCACTGCGTACGGCTCTGCGGTCGGACGAGGCCAGACAAGTTGTACAGTCTGTCCTCCAACTGCGCAAAGCGTTCATGCCAGTCATTACAGCCCTGCGGCATGTTTGCTGCAACTGCCCCAACTTCCGAGCTCAATGACGTCAGCCCGAACTTGCATGAGCTCCCATTTTTGCCCATGGTGTATATGTTGTACATGTGTCTCGCTAAAGTGACTATGTCCAGTGCCGCTGGACTGGGAGAAATGTTGGCCCTCTTCGTGCCAATCCCCTTTGAGTCGACCATTTCTTGACAACCTGACCATGACGCACCGTCCATGCCAAGTGTTGCGTTGCAGATCAGGAAGGCCTGCAAACTTTGGTTTGCTTCCAAAAGCATATCGTAAGACACCACATGTAGGACTGATTTGCCGAAAGTATCCAACAGTGTCATGTAATGACGTAGCTCCTCCTCGGACCATGAACCAGCAAGCCAGTCCGCTCTAGGCAGCGGATTAGAACTTTTCTTCCCACGCTGAATCCATTGGGACTGTGACCATGATGACGGGCTCCGCAAGAAAACCACAGGCGACACCGCAAAGCATGGCAAGTTCCTGGTCTTGTTGTGAAGGTAACTCAGGAAGTGTTCCCATCGGCCTGGGAGGAGGGTCGAGAATGCCTCTGTAGAGATGATGACCGGCGCGCTGGGATTTTCCAAAGCTGTGACCAGGAAGTCGAAAGTCCGATTGAGGGTGAATCGTCGGCAACGAAACTTCACGTGCTCCGGCAGAGAGTCAATTGGAACATCATCAACCGGATCTGTTAGATTAAGGTTGAACATCATTGCAGTACAGTGGGCAGCCCGCGGCATTGCCAAGACACCAAAATGTTTCGCTAGCCACTTGTTGTGCGTGTGCATCCATTTTTGCAGGAACGAGGTTCCCGTTTTGTGCATGCCGACGTGCAGCACCAACCTGCGTTTGCATACTGGGCTCGGCTCGTTTGGGAACCATCCATATCGCAACTTAAATGTTGAATCCCAAACGACACATTTCCACAGCCCCAGCCCCAAAGCTAGGAAAAAAACGAAGGACTTTGTCCGATGCTCGTGCATGGGACAAGCCATGGCTGAGGCGACGTAGCAACTAAACCTTAAGCCCTAAACCCTAAACCTTAAACGATGGCTTGAGTGTATAGAGATTTGAGGTTGGGTCCCGGGGGGGGGGTAGGGCTTGTCATCTCAGTACCCTAAACCCTAGACCCTAAACATTTTTGAAATTGGAAGCTGCTTCATGCCCTAAACCCTAAACCCTAAACTCTGACTGCTTAATTCTTCTGGCAGTATGTTCATCAGTGATGAGTTTCCGAGTGGGCATCTCGACAGTGTGTTGCAACTTCAGGGCACAGCCAAAAGACTGTTGCGAAGTTCTAGACATGTCATCCGAAATTCCACCCACAAACGCCTGGCGGGCTGCCCGGACCTCCTAAAACCGTGCCCTCCAAGGGACTTTGTCACATGGGGGTTTACGATAATAAGGGGTACCGTGTAGGGCTCCTTACTATTACGGGATCCTACTATTATGTTAATGGGGTCTATATTATTTGGGTCCCTTATTATCGTAAAAACCCATATCAGCCTGCCTTGTGGCTTGCAAGGAGAAGGTTGAGATGGAGTGCCGCACACGCTGCAGTGTGATGCGGTCTCTAGATTCATCTACTTACTATACTGCCTAAGAACCCCACCACCAACACCCACCACCACCCACCCGCCACCACCACCCACCACCACCACCCGCCACCACCACCCACCACCACCACCCAGCCAGCACCACCACCCACCACCACCACCCACCACCCACCACCACCACCACCACCCACCACCACCCACCACCCCCACCCATCACCACCACCCACCACCACCACCCACCCGCCACCACCACCCACCACCACCACCCACCACCACCACCACCCACCACCACCAACCCGCTCGGCCCTCCCCTGAGCGCCGCAACCAGCGCAAAGCACTGAAGAGCTGCAGGACGGTCACGCACAAATCCTCGGAGTAATCGGTGTGCCGTTTTGCACGATAAGCGGGCGGCTAATACAAAATAGATCGCCAAGGATACCGAGAACTGTAGTCGAGGTCGACACACAGTAGCTATCCACTTTAGATAGGCTGCCAAGGGACAAAAGCCTCGGACTCCGACAACGAAGAGCCTGCACTGCATGACACAAAAGAGCTGTTACCATATGTGCGAGTCATGACAGCCGCCAGCGTTAGCATTAGAAGCAAGAGGTTCAAGAGATGCTGAAATCACACGGGCCTGACCGCGCTGAGTCGCACTCGCTGTCAAAGCCGGTGCTCGACTCCTGCAAGCGTGAACAAGTACAAGACATTTTTGCACTCTCGCATGGCTGGACGACGAACTGCGCTGCAGGATGTCAGCAGCGACTACGGTCTGCTAATTCAATATACACATCTCCTGACTGTGTTCCCCACCGAACTCATGCCCCGAAACCCAACATAACTCGTGTGTAACGAAGCACGTGGGCGGGGAGCTTCTAAGAAGTGTGGGTTTTCGATTGGGCGGGAAACGACAGGGAAGGTGCAGCGGTGTCGTCAACACCCCAAAGAACATTGAAGAATGCTGTTCATGGTCCATATCGAGGTGGCTTTGAAGACAGCTAGCATTGGCTAGCATATCACGCTTGGTGAAACTACACCGACATCGCCGGTGAGTGTCGTCTGATGCACGTAAGACCGCCAACCGGGTTCCCCTCATCGGCGCAATGAAATCATGCACAACTTACCCAAGAACTCGAGGATGCTGAACCACCCCTGACTTAGCAGGCCTTCTCTCCCTGGAACCGATGGAACGACTCGAGCATGTCGACCTAGCATGCTGCCGCGGCGTGGCCAAATCTCGCGCAAACTGCCCAGCTAAATCACGATGTACGGATGCGGGTGTGTCGGTTGTTTTTCACCTTGCGGCCTGATGCTCTTTCGGCTGCCGTGACATCCAAGCGCAGCACAGGGGGTGGGGGGGATTCGGTCCCCAAACGCAGTCAAGAGCGTGGGCAAAGCTTGGGCAGGGGGGGAGGGGGGGTGGCGTGTGGCTGGCCGGTTGTTTGCACCGCTCCAGTGGCATGACATATCATGTTGCCCTTTTGTCCAGCAGTTTTTTCGAAATGCATGGGGAATTCGTGCGCTTTAGCGGCTCAGCACATAGCATGTCGAAGTGAAGCACAACACCAGAGCCAGAAACAAGCAACTGAAGGCCACAGTTGCTTCTCCTACTATTACTGCCCTTCTACGTTTGCTTTCTCCTTTACGTCGACTTTATGTGTACTACAGCTGATAGCCTTTAGACTTCACTATTCAGAAGTCTTGCTGAATGCAGGCGGACATGCTTTCGTGGATGTAGCACAACACAAACTTAGCAACAAACATGAACACATCTACTACTTACGAATATTGCATTCCTTGACTTCCACAACCGTAGAGGCAAAGTGGGCTGCATTGCACGAAGGCCGATGCCTGAGGTCTGCGCTCGCTCTGAGTGACTGAAGCCGTGAGCTGCACGGAGCTGCTCCATAAACTCGTAGATGCCATCGGGCCTTTGCTGTCTAAGTTTAGGGCTTTAGACGGAATTTTCCGGTGCCGGCAAGCGGATAAGTGGTACGTTATGTGGAGGTGGGACAAGTGAGGCAAGTGGGGCAACTCAGTTCGTGGTTCTCGTCTGCGCGGTTCGGGGCCTCAGACACACAAGATCATCGATAGTTCCCCAGCGTATTCCCCGGCCACGAACAAGCTGTCAAGAGCACTGTGCATGCAGGGCTTCGTTGTTCTGAGCTACGAAGCCCGGGTTTTCAAACTTTGGAGGCTCCTTGCCGAAGTGCCGAAGGAGTTCCGAGTGTTCTTTTGCCAGAGTCTCCTGGGGCCTGCAGTGGAGTGTTTAGCCCAAAACGGACTTCGGGTGTTCTGCTGGCAGGTAATGGCTGGCTACGATACGAATGGCTGACTCGCATGTCTTTTGTTCGTAGCTGCCAGGGTTCACCGTTCCAAGCTTCGGCTTTGTCTCTCACGGAGGCGTAGGGCCCAAACGAGAAGCTGTGCGAGATGTTCGGCATGCCTGAGCAGTTTGTACATCATGTCACGAACCCCGGGGGGCTTTTTCCCACTAGCCCAGCCTCGCGCCACCTCCAAGTCCACGAGGTGGACCTCAGCAGTGCGGCATGGAAACAACCGAGCTGCCATCGAGCTGCCATGGCCCTCGAGGCGACTCGTTTTTTTGGATTGTTTTTAATTGTTTTTGGCTTTGCTGCTACTCATTGCTGGGATGTGGCCCACTGGCAGCATGCCAAGATGGCTGAATCTGAAAGCACAATACAAAGAAACGCACAGTTCTCAGCATAGAATCTAAAGCCTGCAAGGGGACGGCAAGTAAATGGCCCACATGTGGCTCAAGGCATCTCAAGGCCATGGCCAAGGAGGCGCATTCCTCGCGTTGCCGGCCGAAGGGGCTCCGAGTATTCGAGGGACTTTTTTGCACATTTGGGCTGTTTAGGAGTTCAGGCGCTCTTGCACGTCCGACTCCAACAGCAACAAGAAAACAACCAACACATGTTGCGTACACCTCCTGAAGCTTGCATTGCGCACCCTGAACGAGTGATTTGGTGACCGCTTCCAAAAACCTTCTCACACCTCTGAGAATGCTACGCCCACCACAATAGAAGAGAGCACTCCTGGAGGACTTCAGAGGAGACCTCTTCGTAGCCCAGCTTGCAAAGCCTGAGCTCTCCGGCGCTAGGTGGGCTCAGGTGGGCTCAAGGGTGTTGTGGTTCAGTTCAGAGGTCATGAGACGCGTTCCTGCCTCCAGGGGCTTCGAGGACCCCTTCGGTCCTTGGCCTTGTAACTTTTCGGGGTTTTTGGCATGCTTCGAGCTAACTGGCGGCCGAACCAGCGACGAACATCATTGCCACAAATCTCGTGTCATACGTACACCTGTACACCCACCAACGGACAAGGCCGTGGCAGCTTGGGTAGGTCCTTCATGTGGACCCGAGTCTCCCGCGTGACCTTGATGTCTTCCCTCCTGTGATGACCAAAGCCAGCTTGCTTACCCGCTCTTGACCTATGCGCTTCCCGACTAATTCTCGATGTGCTCATGGTATTGTCAACTCTAAGCGCATGACAGGTAGCTAACCCTTCCCATCAAGCATACAAGCGGGGCCGGGTAGCGATAAGCAACGGCAAGTAGCATTTGGTCAAGCTTGAAATAATACGTCTGCGAAAAGGATCCCGATGAGGTCCCGATGCCCTTAGGGCGCGAGGGCCCCTTGTTGCAGCAAGCTTGATGGCTCTTGATGTCCAGCGGCTTTGTGAGGAAAACCCGTGTGGAAGCTGGCAAGAGCGTCACTATACCTGAAGTACCAATCAAGACCAGTTTGTGGACGTCTTCCTCCTCCCTACCTCTTTTTTGGCAGAAACTCGACAGGCCTGCCACCACATTGGGAATTCATGGCGACGGCCGTCTGCATGATCTTCTGCATCTGCGCACGTTGCAGCAGAAGAAAGAGCACTCACATGAATGCAGAGGGGCCCTGAAGGGCTGAATGACCTATAACTTCATCTGTATAGCGGCACAGAAGCAACGTCAAAAGTCTGCAGGCAAGACTTGCCTGCAAAAACGCAAATGTCACACACACACACACACACACACACATATCCGCACATGCTTGGGGAGCAGTGTATCTGCGTCCCGGAATTTCTGATAATGACTGTGCCGAAAGCCTTCTTGCTGTCAGCTCAATTGAAAGGTCGCTTCTTTCACTGCTTAACGGTCAACTCGCCGCAACTTCTTTGGTTGTTTTTCTCATGCCTGCATGTTCTCAAACTGTGTTCAGCTCAAGCAGCATGACATTGTCGAAATCACAAACGCATCAAGTCAAGCATGCTGTCCTCAAAGCTCATATGCATCGGCATGACAAGGATCGCTCGGTTCTATACACAGAAGCACCTCTTGAAACCGTCGGCTGTTCTGGCCTCGTAATCACGGTATTTCCTCATGAAGATCAAGAACTCCCGCCTCGAAGGTTATAAGTTATAGCGCT